ACAGACAGACAGACAGATAGACAGACAGACAGACAGACGAACAGAAGGACAGAAGGACAGACCGACCGACCGACCGACCGACCGACCGACGGACGGACGGACGGACGGACGGACGGACGGACGGACAGACGTACAGACGTACATACATACGTAGGTACATGCATACATGCACACGTGCATACAGACAGACGGACGGACGGATGGACGGACAGACAGACATACATACATACATAACATACAAAACCAACAGATGCCTCATTGTAGAAGCCAGCTTGGCAAAGGCAGAACAAGTAATGCTGAGACACTGTGACATAGAACAATAAGCTGCAACACAAAGCCTGAAAGGCTCAACCCTGAAGAGGTCAACTCGAAAGACTCATCCCCCAAAAGATATTATATACGCGTATAAGTATATACTTATGTTCATTTGTGCTACGTACCAATTAATGGGACGACAGCGGAGACGCAGAGGTCTTTAAAGAGGAGAGAGCGCAGGGACAGCCTCGAAAAGCGTTATCCATTCCTCTGGCATTCAGCCCCCCCAGCCTGAACCCTAAACCCTAAACCCACCCACCTCGAACATGAAAAACTATTCCAAGAAGTAGTCCCAAGCTTTCAGTCTAGGCGGGGGGTCTAGAATCCGTTCACTTGTTGGGCAACAGCTTCTCCCCCGGCTGCCATGAACAAAAGTCTAGCAACCGGACTTGCCAGTCGAGCCGACAGTTTTCCGATTGGAAAATGTCGTCAGAGCTTGGGGCGCGGTAGGTTACGAATCGCTCCTTCTCAATCTGCAGCACCTTCTCCTTGGCTTGTGAGTCTCTCAGACTGGGACATCCTTTCCCTAGGCTCTCAATTGCCCGAAGTAGGCACTGTTCATGGACTTTTTAGGGCCCAAGGTGGGTGATACTTACTTCAAGACTTAGAGCCCTGTGTGAAACCCCACAAATGCACATGAATCACTGCAGGATTAGAGGAGTCACCCCTTAGGATGTCAAGAGAAGATCTGGCCAAACTGCATTTGACCTTTGTTTACCAGAAGCTGGCAGCTTCCTGCCCCGATAAATAAGAAACTTACCCAACTAACGCCCTAGTATCAATACAGGAGTATGTAGGATTTTAGGGGTTTAGGGTTAGGGTAACATTGGGACATTCTGTGGGATGTTGCCCGGACGTGGGATGTTATCCGGAAGTGGAGCATCACATGGACATGAAATGGCAAATGGGGTTCTATGGGGAAGTACCCCCCCCCCCCCCCATATTTCTGGAAGTTTCCAGAAACAGGCCTAACATTCTAGAGCATCCCGACGACGGGACACGGATGTGGGAAACCTCCATCGAAGGAAGCGTGATCAAGTTACTACAGGAGCCTAGACAATTACCAATATCATTTTGAGGTCCATTTGAGGTACCATAGACCATAATTATATAAGGAATATGGAACCATAATATAATTATTTAGGCCCCTATATTTCTTGGACAATGCGGAAGAACTCCTACCCTAAACCCTAAACCCTGAGGCCATAGTATTGGTAATTATTTAGGCCCCTATATTAGGTCTTTGGCTTGGCTTCAAAATAGAAATCCCAAGCACCAAACGGACACCAAACATCCCAAAACTTCAAACCACACGCAACTCGAACGGCCTTAACTCGGCAAAGCCTGGCAGCCTTCCTCAACACCCTTGGTGCAGCCACGAAAACAATCCTACCCTAGAGCCTAAACCCTAAACCCCAAACCCTCAACCCTAAACCCTCAACCAAAACTCAGCTTCAAGTCGGAAAGGTCACCCAAAACCAAAAAACACACCTCTCCCCACTCATATGGAAATCCACAACTGGCCCTGCACAAAACTACAGTCCTTCTTAAAGAGGGCTACATGGGGTTCCCTCTAAGTTTGGAGGGGGTATAAACCCTAATCCCCTCAACATCTATACCTTTCAACCCTGAACAGAACATCCTAAATCCTGTATACCCCAAACCCTACACCCTAAACCCTCAACCCCTAAACCCTAACCCCTCTTATCCACCTTAAGCTCTCACCTTAATCCCCGCCTCCCCCTCCCTAAAACCTCAGGGTTTAGGGTCCAGGGTTTAGGGTCCCCCCCTTTACAGGGACAGCCAAGTCTCCTCGTTGACTTTAAAGATGCTGCAGCCTTCCTCGCTGGAACCCAAACAAGAGCGGCAATCTCCAGCCCGACTACCCCCCCTTTGTAGGGTTTAGGGTTTAAGGGTTTTAGGGTTTAGGGTTCCGAGCTTGTGCTAATATGTAGGATCGAGGATTTGGAGTTTAGGGAGTTTGGGCTCTACAGAGGGTAAGTACTCGGGAGGTCTGGGCTGCTTGTAAGGATCTCAAAATGTAAAGTAGGCAATATCTGAGCTGTGGTCCAAACTCCTTAAAGGGGGGTTATATGTTATATAGGGGATTCTATAGGGGACTACTATAGGGGTTATTAAGGGGGATACTAGGAGTTTAGACTATAGCTCATCTATAGACGTTACTGTAGGGACCGGGCTACGCGCACTTTATGGACTTGGAAACCCAAGGTGTTGATAAACAAATCCCTGCATGACCTATACATCCAACTCCCGGCATGGGCCCAGTGTGGCATACTGAGTGCCATCAGGGTTGTCCAAGAACCGAGGTGTCCCAACCCAGACCCCCAAAAGGATCTAACAATTAGATCCCCTAGAACCATAGGGGAAATTATATGAGGATTATGTAGGGGTTATAATGTGTCTATATAGGGGATCTAATTTTTAGATCCTTTTGGGGGTCTGGGAAGGTCATCAAGTGGTTCTTAGAGTGGCATCTATCTTTGTGGTAAGGAGTGGTGGTGTTTCTGGGCGATCAACCAGCCCTGAACCGCGGACAACCCCAAAGTCTTGAGTCCCCAGGGTTTAGGGTTTAGGGTCACCTCTGCTAGCTCTCGTATCCTTCTATGAACCTCTGCCGCTTCTGCATTGACCGTGCGCGTGTAAGTTTTGGGCTATATTTACAGCAACGATAAATGTTGTTCCTTCATAGGGTCCCCATGATCCTCCTTTATAGGCCACATCTATGCCTATTCTATTGATAAGGCCCTCACGGCCAGATGCTATTGTCCGAAGTCCCCATACGCCGTCCTCTTTGGCGAGTTCTTCCCGCAACCTCCATCGCCGGCGACTGGTGGCCGTGTCGGTGATGATTGCCATTTCAAAGATACACCTCTCGGGGCGTTCGTTTGGGGACTTTGAATTCCAAGTTGGAGGTTTGAGTTTGAAAGCCCAACTTACGAACCTCCCCAGTCAGTATAGAACAAGAACTCAGAATACCCCCATCCCCGCGGGGCTGAATTAGGGCTTCACGGGGAGGGACTTTAGGATTTGGAAGGAAGTGGGCTCCAGCAGATGGAAGACACAGGGACTTACTTTCAGTCATCCAGCTTTACACGTGCAACAAAAAAAGCTTATGTGAAACAGTTCAGCCCTTCCCCACTATTACCTGATAAGCCAGAGGGAACACCTTCTAACGTATGAGATCTTATGGAAAATTGTGGGGAGTTGTTTCGACGAGTACTACTGCATCTGAGACTTGATAAGCATGAAGCCTAAACCCTAAGCCCTACCTCACAAACCCTAAACCTGATGTCATACTGTGCGCAGCGAGCGCCAAGCCCCAAACATCCACCGTTCTCTGATGCTCAACGGGGAATGGAAATTATGAAGAATTTGTTGAAGATTGAATATCCCTGCGGGTTCAAGTATACAAATAATACCTACATTGGGCCCTAAAGTTTGCAAACATTACCTACATGGAGCTATTTGGATTTCATTCCCTAAACCCTAAACCCCCAGCATTTTTGCCCCCTCGGACCAGCTTTTCTCAAGGATGCTGGCGTGCTCATCCAGAAATAGCGCGGTTGCCTCTGACTTGCCAAATGCACTGAAGATGGGCGAGTTCAGCAAGTCAAATACGTGCGCTGGTGCACTCTCCTGGGCTTGATAGACGAAGGGTGTAGGGTGTTGGGATATTATGCCGTTGATGGGGAACCAAGTGGAAAAGAACATGGTATATGAAATGAAAATTGAGTTGCTATAAAGGCTTTGTAGAGAAGAATTTCCCATACACCAATACTCATACCCCAACAACTCTTGCATTAGTCGTGTCTTGTTGGTGGCTGAACCAAGTATGATAATGTTCTTCTTAGACAATACTGTATTCCAAAAGCAGGATACACTCTTGCTCTACGTTGAGGACTCAAGAACCCCAGTGAAATACTGCTTGAGTCTTCAAAAAGCTTTCCAATCACACGCCCAGTGTCCTCTCGAGCAAACATGCCAATCCACATGTTGTCTCGGATAGTCCTAGGATCCCAATTGCCGGTTCATGGGGTTTAGGGTTTCAGGGTTTAGGGTTTAGGGGGTTTAGGGATGCGGGATTGGGGTTTGGCACAAACCAATGTTCTGCGAATCTAGGGTTCAAACACTGCACGGCACAGAAGACTTAAATCCCATGTGTAGGAGTTTGAGTACAATTCTGCAGTCTCCTTAGACCTACAATACAAGTGTTGTCTTTCACAATTCCTTGGGGTTATACCGTCTACGGAGACTACAGATTTGCCAGTATCATGTTGCCGTGTAGTTGAGGCAAAGCATGCCGTACTTATAGTTTCGGGTTTAGGGTTTAGGGTCGGCTTCTGCCATGAATACCTTGAAAATCACTACATAGTCCCAGTGTCGATTTCATTGTTCAGGTGTTTTTGCATGCTTTCCAGGATTTGGGATTACATCCCTAAATCCTATATGCCTATACTCTCGAGCAATCCCTCATATCCTGTGGAGCGTTATCTGTGGACCCTATATGATCCCGATGAACCCTCCACCCCAGATAACTATTATGACTACCAGTGGGTTTAAGCCTAATTACAGCCCATAATCCCCCAAAACCAGAGCCCAAAACCCTACACCTCCCCAAATCCTAAACCCTAAATCGCTGAAGCTACATAGCTGAAAAAGGGAGCTACTGGGGAACCCAGGAGCAAACCCTGGTCGTCAGCAAGGTGATGCACGCTGCCCATGAAGTCCCGGAATCCACTGTGTAAGCTGAAGGATACAAACACCTATGGTTCAGGATTTTGGGGTTTAGAGATTGAAAGTATCTCATGGTTTAGTGTTTAGGGTGTAGGCTTTGGGGGTTAGGGTTTGTGGGGGTAGTTTAGGCTTTAGGAGTTCAGGGCTGCGAGATTTGCTAAAGGATACGAACACCTAGCGGCCAGGGTCTTCCTCCACCACCCCACGTACCCTTGCATAGTGTCCATTTGGTCCTCTTTGTGGGTACTTGGGCTTAGAGGGTACTTGGGGCCTAGGGTTTGCAGTCTGGAGCTTAGGGTCTGGAGTTTTGAGGGATGCAAGCACTTAGGGTTTTGAGTCTGCTTGTGTGGTGCGCTGAGAAGTGAGCGCAAGCTCTTTTTTTTATCTTTTCAACACTTCAAGCTGCTTCGAGTCTGTGTGTGCGTGTGTGTTTTTTGTTTTTGGTGCCTTTTCTCAACTTGCCGGTAAAATCTGGGGCTCGCGATTTGGAGTTCAGGGCTTGGTGGCGGGTCCTTTTTGTTATCCCCTCGAAATGCTACGTGTCGCATGCATCATAGACCCTCAAGCCATGACTCCTAAACCCTAAATTGTAGCCCCCCGACCAACCTAAACCCTGAACCCTAAACCCGAAAGCCCACCTTGGGATCCTGAGGGCCATAGCCAACAATCTCAATCCAGCTCCATGCCGACTCAGGCGGCAGGTCATGATGCACGTCATCTTTGCTGATGTCCGCTGCTAGGTAGCGGATTGCGGGCTTCAAGATGAAAGAGGCGATGTCTTCCATCAAGATGTCTTCCCAGTGCAACCAATCGGTGGAGTCGGATTCGCGATGTTGTAAGAGACCTGAGGGAAGGATATCCCTGGATACGTCTGACAAGAGCCTCCCAAAAAAAGGGGGCAATCGATGCCCTTAAGACATCCCCTCACCCCCTGCCCAGGCCCACCTGTCTTGCATAATCGCTGGATGAACTCTGAGAGCTCCTGTATCTGTAGCAAGGAGATGCCCCGAGAGGCAGGATCCGGGATGTTGACCGGAAGCTTGCCAAGCGCCCATGGCGTAAGTTTGCCATGCATGCTGTCTACTTTAGGATCCTGAGTGCGGTTGGGGGGCTGACGTCACACTGTGCTAGACTCCCTCAGCTCACTGGAATCTGTCAGGAAAGAATAGTTATTCAGGTCTGCCAAAGACCAAACCTTGCAAAGAGCGCAAGCAGTATAAGAAAATTCTGCTTTTGGGGGCTGAGCGTTTGAAACATTTTTCCATGCGTTCCTATCAGCGCTCTCCTGGGGCATTTTCGTTTTCCAAAGTGAGGCTTTGCAGTGTTTTGGGTCTCTTATGAGTGTCGACTATTGGGGGCCACATCAAGGGACGCTATTTGTGGGAAACTCACAGATAGGACATCACAGACGTTGATGGCGGCTCTCACAGCTGGTAGAGCCTGATAAGCAGAGCAGCTTTTCTGGGTTGCTGTTCAGGGTCTTAAGTTCAGTTACCACAATATATGAGCTATAGTCTTCCCCCTTAATACACCTATAATGCTCCCCAATATAATCCCCTAAATAACACACCCTTTAAGGAATTTAGACTATAGCTCATAGGAATCCATATGTAGTAAAGACAGCGCTTTCCTTGTGATGGTTGAGCTCGATGTCGCTAGCTGCAACAACCTTCGGGGCTTCAACGCTGCCCTGAAGGCCTCTTTCATGCAAAGTGATTCGCATTGTTCTTGCTACTGGCGTTCCATGCGATGACAGAAACTCCGGATTTGCATCTTAAACCCTAAACTCAAAAGATCTGGCAAGTTCAGCCTGCTGTTTTGTTGCAACACGGTCCGAATATAGGGGATCTCCATCTTGCGAAACAGGCCTACACAGCTACGTAGATCAGAACACCACCGCCCCTCAAAACATGTCTCTAACAAAGGTATCTATGACGTCTCATAGAACCAGACACGATGCACCTTGGTGTGGTTTATACAACAGTTTCAGGCAGCCGCACAGCCGCTCTTTTTCCGCCGCTGAACAATGCTTGCTCATGCCCACTAGCTGAACTGTGAACAATAATGGTACATGTTCCCGTCTGGATGTCATAGCCATTTGCACTGGAAGCAGGATCATCCGAGAGACCCAAAACTTCAAAAACTGGCTCTTGGGGGGATGCCACAGCTATTGTGCAGGCCCATTGGCCGCATGAGCGTGCGTCCCATGGAAGCGTCAAAGGCTAGGCTGGGACAACCGTGACGTCGTCCACCGCTATGTCCTGGCGGCTACTTGGAGGCTCTTCGAAGATTGAACGCCAAGACTGTGAGTCATGTAGCGACAGGCTTTGTTTTGAAAAGCAAGTGGGAGTTTGCAACTGACCCTCCCGCCCACAAAATCCTTAAGCTTAACACCTACATTGCAGTCTGCTTCTTGTCCCCATAGATTCCTACTGTTATGGCGACCAGTTTGACAAATCCTTGTCTTCTCTAATTCATCCCAGTGTCACTCGACCAGCCGTCGCCCGTCTGCCCAAGAATGCGAATCTGGGAGGTACCGCCTGACAGGCATCGCACACCCAACCCCGGATTTGAGGGTTTACCCTGAACCTCCTATGTAGTTCCTTTTTGGTAGCTAACCCCTTACAAAAAAAGACATGACAAACCCAAAAAGGAACTACGCAGGAGCCCTTGGGCGTGGTTAAGGGGTTTACGAGGCAGGGGGTTTCCGTTAGCCCTCAGCCCTCTTTAGGGTTTAGGGCTGAGGGGGCGGAGCGGCTAGAGTTTTCCCTACATTGCGAGGTTCAAACTTAACTGTTTGGGGATCCGATACACCCCAATCTCGACGTTGAAGATGTTATCCCGCTGTCCCTGCAAAACCCTTCCGAAACCGTACTCGAATTCTTTGGGGCGTTGCGTTACACTCTGGACCCTAAGAACAGCACCATCTGTCCACACTTTTATGGGATATGTTATACCTGTCAAGTAAGAGTGATTACTACTGAGCTGCAGTTAAACGGGGGTTAGAGTACACCCAAAACCTTGTTTTGCATTTCATTTTCCAATTGTTTTGTCTCTTTAATTCACGCTCCATTGTTGGGGGAATGTGCTGGGTTCTCAAACCTTCCAGACGCTCCAGCCAAACCCTAAACACTAAACCCTTAACCTCCAGCCTGGAATGGGGATTTCCGCGTGCAACCATGAGTCGCCCTGACTGCCGGACACGGAGAAGAGCTCATTCCATGCATCCGCCGAGCCCAAGCCCAGCACCTTCACGGTACATCTAGACCTTTATACACTGCTCTGATTTTGGGTTTAAAGCTTGAATTTTGCTTTGACAAGCGAAGGGGTTTAGGTCTTCAGGTCCAGACAGACATCTAAACTTGGCATCCGAACGCCTTTAGGTCGCCCATCTTGGTACCCTTCATGTGGTAGTAGAAGGACAACTTGATGGCTGAGTCCATAACGAAGCGCTCCGACTCGAGGATGAACTGCTTGTTCTTGTTGCTACCACTCGCCTCCGTGTAGACGTACCTCTCCCCCTCATACGCGCCTCCGGGCCCGTTTTTTGAGAGCTCTAATGGTTGGGGCTTTGGCTATTTTGCTAGACCAGGCGATAACATCAGGATAGCCTCGCCACTATTGAAGAGATACCCATGGGGAAGTTGTCAGAAGCTCCCATAGGCCTTTCCCGGATCCTCCCAGATGTGAACACTTAGCTGCGCGATCACTAAACGAGTCCGTGAACACTTAAACTAACAAACGGACTGCAATGGGACACCAAACAGGGGACCCCAAGCACATGGTAGGAATATCACAGGAACATCAGGACCCTGGCAGGCATGTTCCTATCATATTCCTATTATTTTCTGGGGGATCCCTGCTTTGGGGTACCCATTCAAGTCCCTTTATGACAAGAGGCGGTAGGCTCCAAGCCCAACAAAACAGCTCTGCCAAAACCCTACACCTTAGATCATAACTTAGGTCAATCCCCCCATATATGGTAATAGCTCCTTCACATGGAATTAATAGGGCCTTAAAATACCTACAATAATCCCTTGTAGTAGCCATTGCTGGGTGGGGGATTGACCCTAAACCCTCAAACCCTAAACCCTAAGAGCTAAAACCTAAAACCCTAAACCCTCAAACCCCTAAACCCCTAAACCCTCAAACCCCTACACCCTCAAACCCCTAAACCCTCAAACCCCCAAACCCCTAAACCCTCAAACCCCTAAACCCTAAACCCTGATCCCCTAAACCCTCAA